TGTGTGTCTGTGAGCCAGACTAGATTCGGAGAATTCCACTCCTCATCAGTGACCCTGGACACTACCACCAATAAAATATCGGACCAAACCAAGCCTTTATAGTAGTGAGGTATCGAAATACGCCAGTTCGACTTTATTGCTCTATTCGCCGTATTTAAAACTGTACCGGAAATACTGAGTTAACTTGATCTTGATTTATTATTTTTTCATAGAGTTCTGATGAAGGTCATTTGACTTAAAACTCTACAATTTTCCTTTCTTTCTCCTCACGATATTTGAAAATAGTTTTGGAAAAGATAACTTCCTCGCGTTATGCCTTATTATTCACTTTTTTTTTTACGACAGTGAAATGCTTACCCAGCTTTTAAATACTTTATTGTTCTATTCGCCCTATTTAAAATTTTTTATGCATTAATTTCTAAGAAAAAATAAGCTGTATCAAAATCTGGAACGCTAACTGAATTTAAAACGACGAAAGTGAAGTCACTCAAGCACACTAAATGAAATATTTTTCACATCTATTTAAGCTATTTTGTATTCCACGGAGCTAGGCCAGGTGGTTAGGGCACTCGACTCGCAATCTGCGGGTCGCGGGTTCGAATCCCCGTCCCAATAAACATGTTCGCCCTTTCAGCCATGGGGGCGTTATAATGTGACGGTCAATCCCACTATTCGTTGGTAAAAGAGTAGCCCAATAGTTGGCGGTGGGTGGTGATGACTAGCTACCTTCCCTCTAGTCTTACACTGCTAAATTAGGGACGGCTAGCGCAGATAGCCCTCGTGTAGCTTTGCGCGAAATTCAAAACAAACAAACATTCCACGGAGCTTGCGATTTATGTCCGATCTCATTTCCTTTTACATAAAAAATATTTATGTTCTAAAAATCAATAACTAGGAAATCATATAACAGATAAAGAGAAAAGTTAATTATGTATACAAAAAATATTTTACGTTCTATTTCCGCAAAATCTGTGTACCAAAGTTTCAAACTTGGCACAACATGAATGTACCGAAGCTTCAAATGTGGCAAGTAAGGATATTTTATGCTGATTTTTCATACAGTTTGATATATTTTTCCAGACTGCTATGATGACGTTTAAGTGCAGTTTAATCTTAGACTGATGTGTTATTTATGAGTTAAATTATTGTGGATTTGAAGTTTGTAGGCGGTTAAGTTGATATATGCAGATGCAATCCTCAACTTCATGTTAAAAGACTCACCGTACCTGAAACACTTGTATACATGAGGATTTTCGAAAGTCATGCAAAAATATTCCATCTAATAAGAAAAAAGGATCCGTTCTACTACGGAATGAAACTTATAACAACCAGACTATACTTACTTGTGAAGATTGTAGGACAGCATTAGTAATCATATAGGCTCTCTCTAGGTGAGCGTCGTCACGTGGATTAATGCAGAAGAGGAGGTGAGTGATTCCAAGAAGAGGAAAGAGAAGGGCTGTTGCTTTGATAGCTTTCCTGAAAGAGAGGAGGTTTAATTTATCTATAAGATGCCCGAGAATTTCAAGTCAGTTGTATAACAGTTAACTACATGATTTTGTTTGGAAAGTGTTGATATTTTTCAAGGCATTTATTTCAATATTTCTTAGAAAATATTTGGTACGGAAGTCTTATAGAAATAATTATATTTGGAAGTTATTCGTAAATACTTGATTTATTATATATATATATAATTGTCGTTATTTTTAACGCAAAGTCATCTCCACTCTGACCACCGTGGGGAATCGAAACCCGGATTTTAGCGTTGTAAGTCCATAAATGTACTGCTAACCCACAGGTTTGTTTGTTTGTTTTGAATTTCACGCAAAGCTACACGAGAGCTATCTGCACTAGCCGTCCCTAATTTAGCAGTGTAAGACTAGAGGGAAAGAAGCTAGTCATCATCACCCACCGCCAACTCTTGGGCTACTCTTTTGCTAACGAATAGTGAGATTTACCGTCACATTATAACGCCCCCAAGGCTGAAAGGGCGAGCATGTTTGGTGGCACGGTGATTCGAACCCGCGACCCTCAGATTGCGAGTCGAGGCCATCTAACCCACAGGAAAACTTCCAATATTTTGAAACAGGGGTTAATTCAAGACAAAAAAAAAATCTGGGGAAATTGTTTTCTGACACATAATACATTTTACGGGAAGAGAGCAGTCATAACTCAGTAGTGTCATTTGAAAGAAGCATTCATTTTTTTTTCATGAAACGACCGCTTTTATGGAGCAAAGAAAATGAAAAAAAAAAGAAAGAAAAAATTACGATAGCGATGAATTGCCAAAACTGTATTCCGTTTCTTTACAAAGCGGTAAATGTATTCTACGGAGGTAGATAAATAAACAAACAAACAAAAGACCCCCCAATTACAAGTCAAGAGGCGCCCGCCTGCATTGAAAGAAAACTATTTTGTATTTGAAATGCTACGACAGTTATTCCTCACGTTTTTATATATTACGTGAAATTGCTTTATATTCAATTCGATACAAGCAGATCAAAACATTGAGTGAAATACCAGAATATTGTATATTAAAGCAAAGCAAAGAGGGTATGGTTTCTACAGGCAAGTACGAAATAGTTCTGGTTCTCTGTACTATCACTAAATGGTTTATGAGACAACAAAAAAGGTCGTATTGTAATTGAAGAATGTTTTTTTTTTATTAGTGATATTTTTTAAGTAGTTTTAAGCCATATAAAGACAAACTGTGAGGTTAATTTCATAAAACACAATGAAAATTTTTATTTGCGAGGTAGATCAAGTCATAGATAGACGTATGAAAGTTTTACCTCACTTGAGTTGTTTCTATGGAGACGCTCATCCGCAGCTTGGTAACCAGTATTCGTACGATGTTGACCAAAAATACAGTGTTGATCTACATCAAAAAGGATGACAAAAACATAATAGATTATCTCACAGAACGATAAAGTATTACTTTATTTCTTTGATCAGTTTTAATCACATAGTGAAATAAACACAACTGACTGAATGCTTACCCTCTATAATAACTATATAGTGAAATAAACACAGCTGACTGAATGCTTTCCCTCTATAATAATTATACAATGAAATAAACACAGCTGACCGAATGCTTACACTCTATAATAATTATATAGTGAAATAAACACAACTGACTGAATGCTTACCCTCTATAATAATTATATAGTGAAATAAACACAACTGACTGAATGCTTACTCACTATAATAATTATACAGTGAAATAAACACAACTGATTGAATTATTACCCTCTGTAATAAACATACAGTGAAATAAACACAACTGATTGAATTATTACCCTCTGTAATAAACATACAGTGAAATAAACACAACTGATTGAATTATTACCCTCTGTAATAAACATACAGTGAAATAAACACAAGTGATTGAATTATTACCCTCTGTAATAAACATACAGTGAAATAAACACAACTGATTGAATTATCACCCTCTGTAATAAACATACAGTGAAATAATAATAATATAATAATAATGATAATATTAATAATAATAATATAATAATAATAATCAATTTACATCAACCTTAAAGTCTTTAAAGCTTCAAATATTTTCTAAAATGAAGAAGTAATAACAATAATTGTAATTATTTCTTTACTAACAGCTTGTTCAGTGGGCAGATAAATTGTTCTTTAACCCTGATTTAATTCTAATTAATTAGGGAAAAACATATCGTCAATTAAAGTAAGAACGGAATACCTTTCTGTAATCTAAATTTGAAATGTCTCCAAATGAACGATTTTTCTTTACTGTTGTTTTACAACGCTTTAGCCTGATGTCAAAAATTTAAGTGACAAGTTTTGTTTTAAAATAGGGACCAACTGACGTCTTTAAACTAGCATATGGTGATTAACAAGTTTCATCATTTGAAGAAGAGCCACTCATTATTACTTTAGAAATCAACCGATGGGACAGCGGTAAGCTTACGTACTTATGATGCTAAAATCCGGGGTTCGATTCCCCCGCGGTGGACACAGTAAACAGCCTAATGTGGCTTTACTCGAAACCAAACAATGAAATGAACCTATCAACTTTTAGAAAGACAATACACAAAATAAAGCAAAAGTTAGAAGCAGCAGAAAAGAACTCACGAGGAGAGCAGCTATCATTGGACCTGTAACAACCCATACGTAGCTTGTCTTCCCGTATCCTTTCCAGCAGAATGTATTTCGAAACCGTGACATGGTCATTGCCCAGGAAATGATAAATATTAACGGAGCACCTCCAGGTAGATAAAACCAGGTTTCATTAATTAACAAATAGAAAAAATCAGGTTTCATTAATTAACAAGTAGAAAAAATCAGGTTTCATTAACTAACAAGTAGAAAAAAAAATCAGGTTTCATTAATTAACGAATAACACTCATTTCATAAACATATGATATTATATACTGAGTGGAAAAACGTGTTTAATTCTGAATAGAACAGCATAATATTTGCTACAGCGAATCCAAATCTAGACTGTTTTATGAACATTTAGAAAACAAGTTAATATTTTTTCAAATAAAAACATGTAAATAGTGTATTATATTCTATCAAGACAAAAGTCTTATGTTTTTATAGTAAAATGTAACATCTGTAACACTTAGGTAGCAGCGTATTACAGTATTCCTATAGAAACGTTACAGTCAGTGTTCAGAACAAGAAACTCTATCAATTAACAACCAACACTCAACTTCTTTTCAGTTACGACTTTCTTAAGCAAATTGTACCAAATTTAAAATGGACCCTCTACTTTGATGTTATTGTAGTATTTACTAAGCCTGTTGGTAATCTGCTGAAGATGGATGACGTGCGATCCTAAACGTTTCATCGATGCTGTTGTCTTTACCTTGTAATGAAGATTAACTATCCCTCATCCCGATGAACACAATACCACTCTTGCATTTATTGCACTTAGTTCAATGAAAATGTCATCAACTAATATCTTGTTATATCATTCAGATTAGAGATATCTTGCTATATCATTCAGATTAGAGATATCTTGTTATATCATTCAGATTAAAGATATCTTGTTATATCATTCAGATTAGAGATATCTTGTTATATCATTCAGATTAGAGAAGAAACTTGCACTCACCCCAACCTATCAAGTAGTAGAGTTTGAAAGGAGCGTCCTTATTGAAGACAGAGATTGTGATCCGACTGTGTAGAAGTAGTCCTTCCACAAACATCCAGTTAATACTAGCCATAGCGGCGTACATCTTGAGAGACAATATTGTTTTACATAGCCAGTCCTGTGAAAAACGTAGCGGCAACGAATTAAAACAATTATTTTTGAGTAGTTGTGAAAAGGATTAAAATATGATTAGCATCTCTTCAAATGTTTCAAGAAAAGGCCAGTATTAAGTGAGTGTTTTAAAAATATGCATAGTTAATAATATGTTTGAATATTTTTTTTCTGTAGCTTGTGAAGATAAATAATGTATAAGCTTTTTTCTATAGTTAGTGAAAGTATACATTGTATAAACCTGTTTCTGTAGCTTGTGAAGATACATAATGTGTACGTTTTTCTATAGTTTGTGAAAGTATACACTGTATAAACCTGTTTCTGTAGTTTGTGAAGATAAATGTATAAGGTTTTCTATAGTTTGTGAAAGTATACACTGTATAAACCTGTTTCTGTAGCTTGTGAAGATATATAATGTATATGCTTTTTTTCTATAGTTTGTGAAAGTATACATTGTATAAACCTGTTTCTGTAGTTTGTGAAGGTACACATTGTATACACGCGTGTCTGTAGTTAGTGAACGTACATACCGTATATACTTGTTCTTGTATTTGTGAAAGTTTATATTGTACAGAGTAGCCCCAAAGTAGTAGGACTCTTGAATAAGTCTAGAATAAATTGTTTTTTTTTCACAGCAACCTCTATCTAGATAATCCACTTTAAACACGAGCACAAATAAGAATTAATTAGATCAGATCAAAGAAGTTTATTTTCGTCATGGTAGTTACTGTTGTTTTTGTTCCTGCAATGGTTAAATAATAACAACAAAAATGTAATTACTACTGTTCCTGTAATGGCTAAATAACAACAAAAACAATATAACTGTTACTGTTATGGTTAACTTACAGTTGGTTTAATAACTGTTACAGTTCCTGTAATGGTTATCTAACAACAACAACAATATAACTGTTCCTGTTCCAGTAATGGTTAAATAACAACAACAATATAACTGTTACAGTTCCTTTAATGGTTAAATAACAACAACAACAATATAACTATTCCTGTTCCTTTAATGGTTAAATAACAACAACAATATAACTGTTACAGTTCCTTTAATGGTTAAATAACAACAACAATATAACTGTTACAGTTCCTTTAATGGTTAAATAACAACAACAACAATATAATTATTACTGTTCCTGTAATGGTTAAATAACAACAACAATATAACTGTTACAGTTCCTTTAATGGTTAAATAACAACAACAATATAACTGTTACAGTTCCTTTAATGGTTAACTAACAACAACAACAATATAACTATTCCTGTTCCTGTAATGGTTAAATAACAACAACAATATAACTGTTACAGTTCCTTTAATGGTTAAATAACAACAACAACAATATAATTATTACTGTTCCTGTAATGGTTAAATAACAACAATACAACAGAAACACATTACATTTATGATGCACCAGAGACCTATCTTTTGGGGCATCCTGTATATATATTTGTTTTTATAGCTGTGGTCAGCAATAAGCGTGGAGATGATTGTTTCCAGAATTTGTAAATGTTGCGCTTTTGTTTTTTAAGTTTTTTTTTCATTCAGTTATTAGTTATAGAATGTCACAATACTTTGGGGATTTTGTTTTTCCTGTACACCCAATAACCCACCCATATAAGGTGGTTGTATTTTCAAGCTATTAAAGAGAATACATATTAACCAATTTTGTTTTGGGGACTAAGAATCTTTAGTTGGTTCTCCTGTGATCCAAGACAAGAGCTACGAGTAACTATGCTTGCTGAGAGGAGACACTTAATTCTGTTTGTCTGTTTGAAGATAAACATAAAGCTACATAATGGGCTATCTGTGCTCTGCTCACCACGGGTATCGAAGCCCGGTTTCTAGCATTGTAAGTCCGCAGACATACCGCTGTGCCACTTGGGGGCGTGACATTTAATAGAATATATATAAAATCTATTATTTGAAAATAACTGTGTACATTGCAAATTCATAACGTAAACACGACACATAAGTAAATAACAAAAGTAAATTCAAGTTAAGCGGAATGATATAATAATTAGTTTAAATAATACAGTGTATTATATATATTTTACAAAAAATATTTGTTGCGTTTCTTGGAAGGGGGTGAAGACATGTAAGTATAAGTAAAATTATTAAAATAATATTTGTTAAGGTTTTGTATGTTTGTTACAGGATGTTCCTGGGGAAATGACGGAGTAGGTCATGCTGTGAACTTATAATCAAGGTCATGCTGTGAACTTATAATCAAGGTCATGCTGTGAACTTATAATCAAGGTCATGCTGTGAACTTATAATCAAGGTTATGCTGTGAACTTATAATCAAGGTCATGCTGTGAACTTATAATCAAGGTCATGCTGTGAACTTATAATCAAGGTCATGCTGTGAACTTATGATCAAGGCCATGCTGTGAAATTATGATCAAGAGTAGTTTGCAAATGAGCAAAAAGGTGAAACAGTTAGCATCTTATAATGATTTTTATGGATTGATTCATCTTAAGTGTAAGGCAATCTTCATAGAGACAAGAAATTTAAAAGATTTGTCACGAAATTGAGTGTTCTCCATAGTATAAGAGTGATACTGATAGAATGCAGTTCTGTTGCCTGAAATCTTATTAAAAAAGAGGTTTTAGTTTGGCTATTCTTAAAGAATTTCCTCAATTTGCTCATATTAATAGTTAGCTATAAAACCGAGAAGTTAATATTATCTGTGACAGAAGAGTATATAGTTATACTTACAACATCCACGTACGATAAGAAACGTGACTGCAGAACTCCTGGAGACGAAATTATGACAAGCAAAACGGAATGAATAATAAGTGCCACCACCAGGTTTCGGTGAACTCGCAGTCGTGAACACTGAAGAGACCTGCATGGTTATCAACATTATTTGTACACATGCAATTTTCAAATGAACGCGAGATTATAAAGAACAAAATTGATAAATAAGGTTATATGTTATACTAAAATATTTTGAAAAGAAAAAGATCGTGGTAATTATTAAAAGGAAAGAAGCAGGGAGCAGCTCAATAAAATGAAACCTTTTTGTGAATCTGCCATTGCACTAAACACTAACAAACGTATGTTTTGAAGTGCATACGAAAAGAGTAATATCTGTCATCTTTTCGTATGCACTTCAAAACATACGTTTGTTAGTGTTTAGTGCAGTAATATCTTTACTTTTTTAGATGATGGAAATAATCAGTGTTTTTTATAGCCCCATTGACAGAAAATGCTTTGATAAGAGAGTGCTAAGCACTATTTTCTTTAACACTTAAATCAATCCCCTTGATCTGAGAGCCCTTCGTTTAAGTCAACCATATTATCCTATAGCCACTATAATAATTTCAAATTACATATAATATGACAGTGTAAAATTGTTTTCAACTCATGGCTCTTGCACCTTAGGCTTAGGATACGCAAATAACTCTTTTGGAAATGTGTGGCGCGGCTAGCCCTCGTGTAGCTTTGCGCAAAATTCAAAACAAACCAAATCGAAACTTGTGAAAGTAAACAACAAAACAAAAGCAGTTGTGCTGATGAACGAGAAATGTAAAAGAAAGAAAAGTAAAGAAAATATAAAGTATGATATATGTTAAATGTGAAAGAACGCGTAAGTTAAGTAAACACTGAGTGAAGAAGTGGATATGTCTTTCTTTACATGGCAAGTAGTAGTAAGAAGTTATGTGTGAAAGAGCGTATAAGACAAGTACATTGTGATTTATGGGGTGAATATGTTTTTCTTTTCATGGCAAGTAGTAACATGAGGTATGTTATGTGTGAAAAAACGTATAAGTAAACATTGAGTGATGAGGTGGATCTGTATTTCTTTACATGGCAAGTAGTAGTAATTAAATCCACAAAATACTTGACGGCGGATCTATTGTAGAGACCGGTATAATGTTTAGTCCAGTCATAAAACAACTTCGCTTAAACTGTTAGAAATACCACATGTGATGACTCATTATATCTGAACAACATGTATTCATAATCTTTCTCATTTAGATAAAGAAAAGTTACGTTTTTTTTATGAAATTCAAAACTGCAAACTTAGCGAAAGGTTTAGCATAATGGAGCCTGTCAGTTCTTTCCTTTTGTTCAAAAGCTGGGTATGGGAAATAAACGTTAAAGCTGCCACTGTTTGCCGCATCAACTTACTTGAAATAACAAAAGATGAACAAAGTCAGAAACAGCGTTGCTAGCGACACCAAAGAACACACAAACAGATGTACGTTACTGCTACCTGGCTGGATGAGAAATCTCCCGACTCCTACAGGTAAGTAAATACTGTTTTAAAAGATAAATCACAAAATCAAACATCAATAAAGATGAATATGTTAAGTCAACTTAGAACAGCAATACAAAACGTTACAAATGTATTGACGCCTGTATAGTGAGTTGCAGACATATATTTAATGTTCTTAGACATACTTCCAGTTTAAATATTAGTCTCTTCTAGCGACTTTCCAGTTAGTCACAGTGAAATAGATTTTATTTAATACTATAATCAGAACTGTCTATAAGGTACAGTATTCCTTTTACTAATTTACGAGCAGTCCTTGTTGACAAGGTGACCATACCTGAAATTAATACAAAGTTACTGTGGTATTCTTGGCATATTTTATGGTGCTTTGAATTCTATTCTAGTGTATGTATTTTTAATTCATTTACAATTATATTCTTGATACGCCTGAAAAAAAAAAAGTTCAAACAAATCTACAAATGATACACTAATGACGTCGCCTCGATGAAAATTTGCCATACTTGTCTCAATCAATGAAGGTTTACGTTACAATAATGTGTCCTTTTTCAACATGGCCCGGCATGGCCAGGTGGTTAGGGCGCTCGAATCGCAATCTAAGGGTCGCGGGTTCGAATCCCCGTCCCATCAAACACGCTCGCCCTTTCAGCCGTGGTGGCGTTATAATGTGACAGTCAATCCCACTGTTCGTTAGTAAGTTGGCGGTGGCTGGTGGTGACTAGCTTCCTTCCCTCTAGTCTTACACTGCTCAATTAGGGACGGCTAGCGCAGATAGCCCTCGCGTAACTTTGCACGAAATTCAAAACAAAACCTTTTCAACATAATGTGAAGTCTGATAAAATATTATTAAATATCATACATGTCTGATTCTATGGGATAACCAACGCAAGG